CTGCTTTTGGATGATGGTCTTAAAGCGCGGCCTTTGGAAGAGGATTGAATCACTGACAGCAACTTCTGGTTTTCTGTGTTATTCTGCTTATGAGCAAGTTCCTAAAGATGCTGCCTACTTCAAGTGAAGTATTGATGGAAAACGCTGGCAGTTTCTCTGCCATTACCACTGCAAAGTCTGGATTATTATGGCTACCAGATATGACTATAATGTCATCGGCTTTACATTTGACCTCAATAGACTTGCAGAAGATAAATGCTAAACATTTTACTTATATAAGACTGTTATATTTGTTGTTTAATTGTCCACCACTATTCAGGATAGCAAATGATTGATCTGATCTGATCATTGTGCAGTTGCCTAGCATTGTTTGCTATCTGATGCAGCTTTTATTCATTTGTGGGCCGTGCACGTTGCTGGGTGGCCAGCATTTATTGCCCGTCCCAAGTTGCCCTTGGGAAGGTGGTAGTGAGCTGCCTTCTTGAACTGCTGCAGTCCACCTGCAGTGGGTTGACCCACAATGCCATTAAGGAGGGAATTCCAGGATTTTGACCGAGTAACAGTGAAGAAATGGTGACATATTTCCAAATCAGGATGGCTTGAAGTTGAAGGTGATGGTGTTCCCATATATCTGCTGCCCTTGTCCTTCTAGATGGAAGTGGTCGTGGGTTTGTAAGGTGCTGTCTGAGGATCTTTGGTGAATTTCTGCAGTGCATTTTGCAAATAGTACACACTGCTGATACAGAGCATCGGTGGTGAAGGGAGTGGATGCTTGTGGATGTAGTGCCAATCAAGCAGGCTGCTTTGTCCTGGATGGTGTCAAGTTTCTTGAGTGTTGTTGGGGCTGCACTCATCCAGGCAAGTGGGGAGTATTCCATCACACTCCAGACTTGTGCCTTGTAGATGGTGGACAGGCTTTGAGGAGTCAGGAGGTGAATTACTCACTGCAGTATTCCTAGATTATGAACTGCTCTTAAACACAGTGGCTATATGTGGTGAGTCCAGTTGAGTTTCTGGTCAATGATAACCCCAGGATGTTGATGGTGGGGGATTCAGTGATGGTAACACTATTGAATGCCAAGTGGTGGTTAGATTGTCTCTTATTTGTGATAGTGGTAGCCTGGCGTTTGTGTGGTGCAAATGTTACTTGCCACTTGTCAGCCCAAGCCTGGATATTGTCCAGAACTTGTTGCATTTGAAAATGAACTGCTTCAGTATCTGAGGAGTCGCGAATGGTGCTGAACATTGTGCAATCATCAGCAAATATCCCCACTTCTGACCTTATGGTGGAGGGAAGGTCATTGATGAAGCAACTGAAGGTGGTTGGGCTGAGGACGCTACCCTGAGAAATTCCTGCAGAGATGTTCTGCAGCTGTGATGATTGACCTCCAACAACCACGACCACTTCCTATGTGTCAGGTATGACTCTAACTACTGGAGAGTTTGGTCCCTGATACCATTGATTCCAGTTTTCCTAGGGCTCCTTGATGCCACACCCAGTCAAATGCAGCCTTGATGACAAGGGCTGTCACTCTCACTTCACCTCTGGAATTCAGCTCTTTTCTCCATGTTTGAACCAAAGCTGGAATGAGGTCAGGAGCTGAGTGGCCCTGATGGAACCCAAACTGGGTGTCACTGAGCAGGTTTATTGCTGAGCAGGTGCTGCTTGATAGCACTGTTAATGACACCTTCCATCACTTTACTGATGATTGAGAGTAAACTGATGATGCGGTAATTGGCCGGGTTGGATTTTATGTTGGTTGCGTTTTATGTACAGGATATACGTGGATAATTTTCCACATTGTCGCGTAGATACCAGTGTTGTAACTGTACTGGAACAGCTTGGCTAGGGGAGCGGCAAGTTCTGGAGCACAGGTCTTCGGTACTATTGCTGGAACATCGTCAGGGCCTGTGGCCTTTGCAGTATCCAGTGTCACCAACCGTTTCGATTCACTCCAAGTGATATCAAGAATTGGCTGAAGAGTGATATCTGTGATTCTGGGGACCACTGGAGGAGGCCGAAATGGATCATGCACTTGGCACTTCTGGCTGAAGATTGTAGCGAAAGCTTCAGCCTTATCTTTTGCACTGATGTGCTGGGTTTCTCGATCATCAAGGATGGGGATATTTCTGGAGCCTCCTCTTTGATTGAGTTGTTTAATTGTCCACCACCATTCACAACTGGATGTGGCGGGACTGCAGAGCTTAGATCTGATCCATTGGTCGTGGATAGCTCAGCTCTGCCTGTCACTTCTGCTTATGCTGTTTGGCATGCAAATAGTCCTGTTTGGTGGCTTTACCAGGTTGACACCTCATCTTCAGGTATGCCTCGTGCTGCTTCTGGCATATCCTCCTGCACTTTCCATTGAACCAGGGTTGATCCCCTGGCTTGATGGTAATGGTTGAGTGGGGGATATGCTGGGCCATGAAGTTACAGATTGTACTGGAGTACAATTCTGCTGCTGTTGATGGCCCACAGCACCTCATGGATGCCCAGTCTTGAGTTGCTCGATCTTTGCAAAGTCTGTCCCATTTAGCACGGTGATAGTGCCACACAACACGATGGAAGTTATTCTCAAAGTGAAGGCGGGACTGCGTCTCCACAAGGACTGGGTGGTGGTCACTCTTACCAATACTGTCATGGACAGATGCAACTGCAGCTGGCAAATCGGTAAGGATGAGTCAAGTATGTTTTTTTCTGTTCTTGGTTCCCTCGCAACCTACCACAGGCCCAGTCTAGCAGCTGTGTCTTTTAGGACCCGACCAGCTCGATCAGTAGTACTGCTGCCGAGCCACTCTTGGTGATGGACATTGAAATCTCCCACCCAGAGTACATTTTGTGACCTTGCCATCCTCCGTGCTTCCTCCAAGTGTTGTTCAACATGGAGGAGTACTGATTCATCAGCTGAGGGAGGACAGTATGTGGTAATCAGGTTTCCTTGCCCATGTTTAACCTGAAGCCATGAGACTTCATGGGGTCCAGAGTCAAAGTTGAGGACTCCCAGAGCAGCTCCCACTGGGCTGCCACCTCTGCTGGGTTTGTCCTGCCAGTGAGACAGGACATAGTCATACTCTCAGAAACATACCTTACAATGTCAGGCTGTTGCTTAACTAGTCTGGGAGACAGCTGTCCCAATTTTGGCACTAGCATCCAAATGTTATGGAGGAGGGTCAACAGGGCTATTTCTGCCATTGTCTTTTCTGGTGCCTAGGTCGATGCCAGATGATCTGTCCAGTTTCATTTCTTTCAGACTTTGTAGCAATTGGTACAACTGAATGGCTTGCTAGTCCATTTTGGAGGGCAACTGAGAGTCAGCCATGTTGCTGTAGGTCTGGAGTCACATATAGACCAGACCAAGTTAAGATGGCAGATTTCCTTACCGGAAGGTCATTAGTGAACAAGATGGGTTTTTCCAACAATCGACAATGATTTCATGGTGATCCAGATTTTTTTTATTGAATTCAAATTCCATCATCTATCGTGGCAGGATTTGAACCCGGGTCCCCTGAACATCAGCTGAGTTTCTGGATTAATAGACCAGCGACAATACCACTAGGCCATCGCCTACCTTTTTAATGTGCACACTGTCCCAATTGTGTTGTACCTTCACAAGGTTGGCATCTTTATTTTGGGTATGCAAGCGGTGATGTTTCCGTTTACCTGCTACCTTTCTCTTTGTAAATGGTAGTGGTCATGGGTTTGGAAGGTTCTGTTTAAGGGTTCTTGTAAAATTTCTACAGTGCGTCTTGTCGGTGGCACACACTGTTGCGACTGACATTGGTAGTGGAGGATGTGAATGTTTGTGGAAATGGTCCCAGGTAAGCGAGCTACTTGGTCCTAAATGATGTCAAGCTTCTTGAGTGCTGTTGGAGCTGCATTCTTAAGGCAAGTGAGAAATATTCCAACACACTCTCTTGATTTGTGCCTTGTAGATAATAGACAAGCACTGGAAACTCAGGAGGTGAGATCATTGTTGAGGGGTTCTAGCTTCTAACTTAATCTTGTAGCCACAGTACTTATATGGCTTCTCCGGTTCTGCTTCTGGTCAGTGTGCTAACGCCCAGCCCGTTTACTCTGAGCAGGGTTTTCCTTTGATTATTGTCGCACCTGCTGCAGGCCCTGTGCGACAGATTGTCTTTCTAAACTCTTAACTTGGCCATGCTTGATGATGGGTTTTGACATCATTCTGACAGGTACATTCTGCGTCCTTGCTACTGTCAGTGTTATTTTCAAGTGATATTCAGTGTTTCTTTCAAGTGATTTTCAGTGGGAAGGTGTAATCAGTAGGAGATAACCTTGCTCATATCTGTCCGAATATCGTGAGACTGCAGTCTTGAGTCTGTCACTTCCTGATAGGTCTGTCCTAGTGGTGGAATGGGACAAGATGTACCCAGGATAGCGATAGAGATTTGTACATTAGCTGAAAAGTGATTCAATGAGTATGGTTATGTCAGGCTAGTGCTTCAGTTGTCTGTGGTTCACGTCACCAAACACTTACCAGGCAGACACTTTGCAGAGTTGGCTGGATGGATTTTATTTTTGTTGTATCTGATGCCAAGGTTGAAGCAGTTGTTATATCCATTTTTGTTCATATGACACTCTTTCTAGCATTTGGATACAATTGAGTGGCTTTCTAGTCTACACTGTATTTCAGGGAACAGTTAAAAGTCACCCACTTGTTGTGAGCCTAGAGTTACAAATTGGACAGTCCAGGTAAGATTGGCAGATTTCTTTCCCTGAAGGACGGTTTACAGAGATATTGCTTCCAAAATTAATACTTTAAATTAAAGGCTATCATAGTACCCTCTGTGGATTTCATTACAAATTGTAATTACCTTTAGCTGTAAACCACAGTCTTTTATGTGTCTTTCAAGTTAGTTTCGAGAAAATGTTGAAGAGTTGTCACATAGTTGTCTGCTGCCAAGATTGGAATTGTAGTAAATTAAGCAAATGCTGTCAGTGGAGCCAATAACTTGTTGTTTTGCTTTCATTTATTCAGTCACTTCATTTACTGCGGTCTTACTTTGACTCAAAACAAAGGATGAATTCAAGCCTTCCCCAAGAGTTACATGACATCATAGCTTGTACCAGGGCCAAAGTCTGGTTGGCAACTCAGTAAGTTTGAATTTTATTCTAAGTCATTCTAAATAAGGACTAGTTTAGTCAGTTTTTTTTTAAAGTTAGTATATTTAAATTCTCCTGTATTTTTTGGTGAATTCTCATACATCTGTCCAAGTGTTGGCAGATTTAATGGTAGAATTTATTTTTTCCTTTCATGGCTTTTATGCTAGTTGCCATGGTTTACACCCAAAATGGAAAGATGTTTCTTTAGATCTTAGAGATAGTAGGAACTGCAGATGCTGGAGAATCTGAGATAACAAGGTGTAGAGCTGGATGAACACAGCAGGCCAAGCAGCATCAGAGGAGCAGGAAGGCTGTCGTTTCGGGCCTAGACCCTTCTTCAGAAATGGGGGAGGGGAAGGGGGTTCTGAAATAAATAGGGAGAGAGGGGGAGGTGGATAAAAGATGGATAGAGGAGAAGATAGGTGGAGAGGAGAGAGACAGGTCAAAGAAGCGGGGATGGAGCCAGTAAAGGTGAGTGTAGGTGGGGAGTTAGGGAGGAGATAGGTCAGTCCAGGGAGGACAGACAGGTCAAGGGGGTGGGATGAGGTTAGTAAGTAGCCTCCAACCTCATCGTTCCCCAACCCCGCACCGCCCGCTTCTATCTCCTTCCCAACATCCACAAACCAGACTGCCCTGGTCAACCCATTGACTCCACCTGCTCCTGCCCCACCGAACTTATCTCCACCTATCTTGACTCCATTTTCTCCCCCTTGGTCCAGGAACTCCCTACCTATGTCTGTGACACCACCCACGCCCTCCACCTCCTCTAGAACTTCCAATTCCCTGGTCCCCAACACCTCATCTTTACCATGGACGTCCAGTCCCTATACACCTGCATTCCCCATACAGATGGCCTAAAGGCCCTCCGCTTCTTCCTGTCCCGCAGGCCCGACCAGTCCCCCTCCACTGACACCCTCGTCGGCTTAGCCGAACTCGTCCTCACCCTCAACAACTTCTCTTTCAATTCCTCCCACTTCCTACAGACAAAGGGGGTGGCCATGGGTACCCGCGTGGGCCCAAGCTATGCCTGCCTCTTCGTAGGTTACGTGGAACAATCCCTCTTCCGTACCTACACTGGCCCTAAACCCCACCTCTTCCTCCGTTACATTGATGACTGTATCGGCTCCACCTCTTGCTCCCACGAGGTGCTCGAACAGTTCATCCACTTCACCAAAACCTTCCACCCCAACCTTAAGTTCACCTGGACCATCTCTAATACCTCTCTCTCC